GCCACATCCTGCGGTCCGTCGTCCATCTGTTGAAAATAATGCTGAAAGTGGCTGCGCGGAGCCTTGGCGGCGCAAGCTTTCGCAGGCGGCCAAACTGAGTAGCTACTCGCCTTGCTGTGCGGCCCGGATAATCGGGAAGCCTTCAACGCTGTAGCCGGCGCCGCAAGCGCCACTCAAGACTGAAATCGTCTCTCGCCTGCAGACGCCCGACCAACCATCGCAGTGTACGTTTTTTTTTTTTCCAATAAGTCGTGTCGTTGTTTTGTCAGTGGACCAACTCCGATCTTGCAGACGTCTCCTCTCGCCGTCTTGAAACTCACCCCTCGTGCATGTTGCGCGTCCACTATGTTCAATACCGTCGGTGGAATGCGTTTCCCGACCCATTGGTGCCAACGGGCGGCCCGGGCCAAATGCTCCGTGTAGAGTCGCGCCGATTCTAGAGACGACTTCATGCCTTCCCAATCGATGCCCCCGTCGCTCCGCCCCTCACACGCATGCATTCGCAACATGGCGGCCTGGCATGATACCTCCAGAGGACGCAGGTGCGTTACCCCAAGATTGTTTACATTTTCCTGGCCCGACGCAGAAGCCCAAATACTTCCCGGTGGTGTCCCGATGCAGAGGTATTTCAGTCGCGTCCGTCCTGGCAGCGTTGCGCAAGAGCTAAATATCTTCTTCCTAAAAAGGTATAACAACCGTCTTGGCCAGGTTCAGGGTCAGGTTGGATACTCTCTCGAAGGTCCTGAAGGTGGCGAACACTTTTTTGCGGTCCCGTCTCCATCATCCGCAACAGGCTATCTGACGCCAGCGCGAATAAAAGTGAAAACAATGGACACCCCTGGCGGATACCTGCCTCCAGCGGCACTTTGCCGTACAGCGTGCCTTGCAACAGCAGCGTGCCTGTAGTCATGTGGTGAGACGAGCCCAAGACCGACATTGCCGTGTCTGCGAAGCCAGAGGCCCGTGAAATGCTCAATAGATATTTTCTGGAAATCGAAAGGAACGCAGCAGTGAAGTCGAAGAGTACGATCGCTGCGTCCTCGCTCTCTAGCGCCACCATGGTGGCGGCGTGTTCAATGTCGATGACATTTGACAGCATAGAACGGCCTTGGATGAAGCCTCTCTGTTTCTGTGTAGTGCCGGGAGCAACCAAAGGTTCCCATCGCAGCCGGTGGGCGTTCGCGAGGAGCCTGTTGCCAGTGTTCGTGATCGATAACGGCCAAGTGCCGCTGGGGAGGTAGACACGCTCGTCTTTCAGGTCCGTCCGCGCGGGCTGTTTGGGCAAACAACACAACAAAGATTCATTGAAGGCGTCGTAAATCTTGTCGCCATCAACAAGGCCCACCTCCAGTTGTCGCCCAGCCTCCCAAAGCACGTGAATACCAAGCGGGCCCAAAGTTCGCCAAGCTTGAAAAAAACCTGCATGCCGTCCGGACCAAGGAATGCCGTCCGGACCTGGACGAGAGTTGCCTGCAATGCGGAGCGCTCTCTGGATATCCTTATTGCGAAAACGCCATCGTTCCGGTGGGAAAAATACTTTCTGACAACCAACATGTTCTGATAAATCGACCCATGTCGAAAGCTGCACTTCGTCTACCGGCATGTGTCGGAATACTCTGGCCCAATGGGCTACCAATTCTGCCGCTATCCCTTCCGCGTCCGACAAAATATCGCCGTCGCCTGTCTCCAGGACGTGAGTACCAGCCGTCTCTGACTTACGCGAAAGGCGCGCCAACCGTTGGTTGATCGTGTTCTGCTTGATTTGCTTATGGTAGTCGTCGGAGTCGTCTCCTGGCAGGTTCTGGTGCGCCCGCATGTCAGCCAGCAACTCATTGTTCGTCAGGTCGACGGCCATATTTTTCAATTCTTGCAACGCAGAATCCAAAGAGCAGTCCGGCGGGGCCATTGACGCCACCCATGGTTCAGGCAGCCGTGACCTCAGTTTTGCAAGGGAGGAAATAAAACCACATCGGATATGGGCAATGCTCGCCAAAGCTGTTGCCGCTGTCTCTGGGACTTGAATTTCGCGCAAAAAACTGCGGCCCAAATCGTTTTCCTCCATGTCCGACGCCACAGTGTGCATAGCATGCTTGGGCATCCGCAACCTGTGAATAGCATCTGGTGTTCGCCCATTTCTGACATCCTGCTTGAGTCCATGGTGGTATGCTCGCGAAGCCCTCTTTGCAAAATCTGCGTGGGATATCGCCGAGCTGCGAAGTGACAGCGGGCGGCCCTCCAGAGCAGGAAGCCGATGTCCAAACGAAATAAGCCTGTGATCTGATATCGCCACTCCCTCCCCTTCGACATATGGCCAAGGCCATGCTCCCAACCAAAAGGAGCCCATGAAATAGTCAGCCGTGTGGTGCGTCGTGTAAACCCGATCCAATCGTGATCGCAGTGCTTCCGATCGAAATGTATGCTGCGATTGCGCCAACTCGAGTAATCCTCCTGGTTCTGCCACCTGCTGTTTCCAATGGGTCTCTTCCACAACATCCCGTTGCCCAGAAACTGCATAGTGTGAGTTCGTATTCTGTTGGATGGTTTCGTGACCCGATTAAACCCCCCCATCACAATCCAGAGCGAATCGGCATGAGCGGCCATGGCACGTGCGAGTCGCACTCGAAGTAAGCGGCGAGCTTCGGCCGCATCTTGCCCTGAAGGGAAGTATCCGACAGCAATGGAAAGAGAGCCATGAGGATCATATAGATGTAGCACCGCAACTCGTCCGGAAGGAGAAGGAGAAGGGGGAGGAAAAGGAGGCAGAGGAGGAGGAGGAGGAGGAGGAGAGGAAGGAGGAGGAGGGCATCTAGGGAGATGGGGCGCCGCCCTGGCCTGGGTGGCGCCCGGATGCCCGCGGGCGCGGGCGGCGCAGTGGGCCTGGCGCCGACGCCCCGCGGCGTGCGGCCCGCGCCTCCCGCCACGCCCGCCCCGCGCGGCCGCCCTGCGAGCGACGCGCCGCGCGGCCGACGCACGCCAGCGGGCGCGGCCGTGCGGCGCGGCCGTGCGCCAGCGGATCAGCCGCCGCTCGCCGAGCGGCCGCCGCTCGCCGATCGGCCGCCGGGGCCCCATCGGCCGTCGCTCGCCGTCGCCCTTCGCCAGCGGCGGGCCGTTCGTCGTCCGTTCGTCGTCGTCGTCGTCGTCGTCGTCGTCTCTCGTGGCTCGTCGCCGTTCGAGCCACGAGCTACGAGCGTGTCTGTTCCCTGGCCAGCTCGTATCGCCGTTGATCGTCGTCGTCGCCGCATCCAGTTGTCGTCGTCGGAGACTGGGAAGGGGAGGGGGAGGTGAGGACGATGGCGGGGGCGGAAGACGGGGAGGGGAAGGGGGAGGCGAGGAAGAGCGGGAGAGAAGAAAGAGGAGGATAAAGAGGAGACGAAACAAGATGAGAAAGAGTAGGGAGGAGAGAGAGAGAGCCGGAAGAGGAACAGGCAAGAGGAGGATGGTGCAGAGAGGAAGAATGGAAGATCGAGAGAGGCAGCGAGGACGGAAGGGGGGGGAGAGGAGGAGGTCGAAGGAGGCGAGTGAGCAGGATGGCGAAGGAAGAATGAAGCCAGTAAGAGGTGCAGGATTGGTGTGTACGCCTCCCTGCCCAGGCAAGGGAAGATGGGGGCGCAACCACCGATGCCGTGCCTAGGGTGGGCCTTGCCATGAGCGGCACATTTGGATAGCAAGCGCCTCGCGATCCCCGCTCCTTCTCCTCCTACTCCCCCATCTCCCTCATACTCCTCCCCGTACCAAGACCATATGAGCAAACGGCCCCTGCAAGGCCCTCAAGACGGCCCAGAGATGGCCAAACATGGGCCCAAGACGGCCGAAGAGAGTCCGAACAAGTCTTGCGAGGGCTTCTGGGTAAACTGGAGCAGGCTCAAGAGAGCCTGAACACAAAGCGAGAAAACGCCCAGATGGCTCCAAGACGGTCCCAAGTTACCTCCGCGACGGCCTCCAAAGGACACCTGACGGCCCAGTGGGGCTCACGCATCAGCAAGTGAAGAGGTAACGCGAGTAGATACAGTACGGGCAGGTTTCAAGCGCGGCGAGGTCCTAAGGTTTGAGGGCTGCGCGGCAAGGGACAACTCGCCCGCTCCCCAACTCACATGTCCGTGTCTCCCCGACCACCTTCATTCGCTCACGTGACCGCTGCCCCCTCTACCAAACCCCTCCCTCACCCCTGGCATTGAGCAAAGACATGCCAGTATAAGCATTGGTTGCCCCCTGGTTTGGCACTACGTTGCCTTGTCCACGAGTTCTGTCAAACATAACAACTGACGACACCCTCGGACTCCCAACAGGTGCATACGCACAAATACCCATCCGAAAGAGCACCAGGACTTCAGTGGATCCCTGAGCCTTCAGGGGGATGGACAACTTCCCTGGGGCACCCGTTGGCAAGCTGGTTTCTGAAATGCGCCCCATGTGTCCAACACCGCGGGCTGAGGTTGCCCCTCCCCTGGCGCTTCCGACATGGACATGCCACGCCACGGGAGCATTCTTTTCTCCCATGCACCACGCGCTCGCGCGGCAGTCCGCGCCAGGGAGGGTTGCCAGAAGAGAACTCGGGCCGGCCAGGCGACCACCGCCGAGCGTTTGAGGGAAAGCCGAACGTGGCCCGGCGAAGTCGCATGAACTCCACCGGCGAAGTCGCATGAACTCCACGTTGCTTGGCTCCAGACCTAGGAAGGGTAAGAGACGAGACTGGTGCGGATTAGGACGAGGACAACTTGGATCAACAACAGGAGGGGGGGTGGAAAACAACGACGATGAGCAGGACGAAAGGACGACAAGGGAGAGAACGATGGCGGATGATGATGAGGAGGAGAAAGGAGGAGAAGGAGGGGGGGGAGGAAAATGAGATCGGTGAGGAGCCCAGTGGAGGCCTTGGCTCGTGTCCTGGCAGAGCCTCTGCTCCTGTTCTGGCAACACCTCAGAAAGACTCGTTGCACGCACTGCGGCAGCAGGGTGCAGGCCGATTCTCGTCCGCAGCGCCTCACAAACCAATTGAGGCTCTACAATCGCGCCGCTGCTGCAGACCTCTCCCCGCCTGTCCAAGCGCCAACCTCCCTCCTCCTCCTCCTCCTCCTCCTCCTCCTCCTCCTCCTCCTCTTCCTCCTCCTCCTCCTCTTCCTCCCCCTCCTCCTCCCCCTCCTCCTCCCACTCCTCCTTCTCCTTCACCTCCTCCTCTTCCGCCCATAGGAACTGGAGGATGGCAGCTCCACCGGCCTCCTCGCTCGCCTCCCTCGCTCGCTCCTCCTGCCTCGCCTCCCGCGCCGCCTCCCTTCTCCCGCCCCCCCCCCCCGCCTCCTCCTCCTCGCTCCTCCCCCTCCCTCCGCTCCTCGCCCCTCGCCTCTCTCCTCCGCGCTCCCGGCCTGCCGCCCCCTCCGACCTCCCCCGTCCCCGCGCCCTCGTGCGCTGCAACGCGCTCGGCCGGGAGCGGCGGCCGCACGGGCGCCGCACGGCGGCGGAGCGGGCAGCGCCAGGGGCGCCTCCTCCGCCGCCCGCCACGGCAGCGCGGGCCCCCGCCCGCCGCAGCAGAGCGGGGGGGCGGCGATTGCGCGGCGGCCGCGGGGCGGCGGAAGGTGCACTCCGCCAGAGCTCGGCAGCGCGCCCGGGGGGGGCAGGGCGAGGGGGGCGAGCTGCCCCAGCCCTCCGCCTTTCGAAGCCGCCTCCCACGGGGGGGCCTTCCGAAGCGGCCGGAGGGCTCCCGAGAAGCCCCGCCGCCCTCCGAGGACGCCTGCTCCCCCGCACGTTCCCCCTCCGCGCGCCGCCGAACAGTTGGAAGCGGGTGAACGGCGGGGGGGGGAGGGCGGGGGGGGTAGTGGCAAGCTAGTTGCGCTCGCGTCATGTCTGACGCCCTACCCCTCCCTCCAATCCTTCATTATGGCGTAGATCACAAAGCGTCGCAGAACACAACACCACACAACATGTCATGGGATGGCGCCGGGTGCCTTGGAGGGTCAGTGGATCGTCTTCGAAAGGTCTGGGCCGGTCTGGAGTCGTGGCTCCATGTCTAGCTCTTTGGGCTCCCCGCAAAGCTCCACACAAGGCGGGGCTGATGGAGAGCACCCGCTGGCTCTGCTTTCGACATCGCCTTCTCAAAGCAGAAACGGGGCTCCCGCTTGATACTTCCTGAAAACGACGACGACCCAAAGTGGGGGGGGTCTGCGGCCCAAAAAACCAACGAATCGATGCCGAATATGTAATCGCTTCCGACGGCTGCTTCGGGCCATTTTCTATATTTTGGGGTTTATTTGGGAGGACCGAAAACGCCCGCACTGTAGCGGGACCACGATTTGGAACAACCGGAGTCGCAGAAATGGGGCCAGCGCTTTCGCGGGAACAACACTTCGGAACAAAAACCAAAAGGAAAACCCAGTTCCCAGGAAGCCTGACTAAAACAACAATACGCGGAGAGAGGCCGGATATCTTCCGGACGTCATCAGGGGAGAGAGGAGAGTAGTATTCACATTGTGTATTTGTGGAGGAGCGCGCGCGGCCGGAGGAGATGATGTGGGAGGACGGGGATGAGGACGAGAGGACGGGGGAAAAAGAGGATAATGAGGAAGAGGACCAGGAGACGGAGGAGGGGGAGGGGGAGGACGAGGGGGAATGCGAGGGGAGGAGGAGGAGGAGGAAGGAGAGGGGAAGAGGAGGAGGGGTGGGACGATACGGGGAGGGGGCAGCGGCGGGCGGGTGGGGGTGGGGGGGGGGAACTGGAAGCAGGGGCAGATGAGAGGGACGGGAGGAGGAAGGGGAGAGAGAGGGATATGAGGATGAGCGGGAGAGGAGCAATATGACGGCGAGGAGAAGGAGAAAGGGGAGGTGGAGGAGAAGGAGGAGGAGGGCTACGTCGGGATGACTCTCTCTTCATTGGTGGATCGGTGGGTCAGGAGGAAGAGAAGCAGGAGTATGATGATGAAGGGGGATGGGGAGGAGCAGGATGGCGAGGACGAAACATGAAAGTGTGATGTAAGGTGGGCAAGGAGACAGAGGAGGAGGAGGAGGAGGAGGAGGAGAAGGAAGAGGAAAAAGAGGAGGAAGCAGAGGACGCGGGGGAGGAAGAGGCAATGGGACATGGTCATGGCGATCATGATAGCGAGGATCGTGATCGGGACATTGAGGAGTAACTATTCGGATGAACAGGAAGGAGTGGAGCAGAAACCATATCATCGGAAGAGCGCGTGGCATGATGATGATGGTGATGAGTATGATGATGATAACGATGATGATGATGATGATGATGATGATGATGATGATGAGAATGAGGATGGAGATGAGGATTGTGGCGACAATGATGATACTAATGATGCTACTGATGATGATCAGGGTGATGATGATGCTGCTGCTGATGATGATGATGATGGTGTTGATGATGACGATGATGATGACGATGATGATGATGATAATGATGACGATGGTGGTGATGATGATGTGGCTGATGGTGATGATGATGTTGATGATGCTGGTGATGCTTATGATGATGACGATAACAAGAAGGAGGATGATGAGGAGGAAGTCGAGGAAGACGAGAAAGACGTGGAGGAGGACAAGGAAGAAGCGGAGTCCTCACCGCCCGGTGGTTCTAGTCGCCCGCCCAGCGAGCCCGCCAGAAGCGGGTCAGCCCGCGTCCTGGGAGAAGCCCGCCTGAGCGCAGCGGTGGAAAAGGAGCGAAAAATTGTTGGCACGTAAGGGCACGACGTCCATACAGAATGGAAGAGCTAGACAGGCACAAGGAAACGGTAACCACGGACAACGACGACGACGACGACGACGCCGCCGCCGACGACGACTACGGGGACGACAACGACGACGACGACGACTACGAACGACGACGTAGGCAATGTCGACGACAACGACACGCCGAAGACAGACAAACGAACGACGCGACGCGAACGACGACAACTGGAAGAGGAGGGGAGAAACACAGGATGATATGTTTTACGGAGGCTGTGCGGCTCTGATGGGTGCTGGGTGGTTTCAGCGAGCTCCAAAGCGTTCTAGAAACGACGACGAGGGGGAAGACGAAGCGGAGGAGGGAGGTGGGGGAGGAAGAGGAGGAGGAGGAGGGGGAGGATGGGGAGGAGGTGGATATGCAGGAGGGGAAGGAGGAGGGGGAGGAGGAGGTGGTGGAGGAGGTGGAGGAGGGGGCGGTGGAGGGGGAGGAGGGAGAGGAGAGGAGGGGGGGAGGAGGTGGAGGTGGAGGAGGGGGGAGGAGGGGGAGGAGAAGGATGAAAGGGGGAGGAGGAGAAGGTGGCGGCGGCCTTCCGCCGCCCACCGCCAGTCGGAGCCGCCCCCCCCCCCTAAAAGTGAATCACGGCCTCCTCCTTCTCGTCCAGACGCTCCGTTCTGTTCCAAGATCGGCGGCTCGCGCAAGGGTGGAGGTAGAAGGCGGCGGGCCGTCTCAAAGGCTCAGAAGGCCTCCGTCCTTATGAAAAGCTTTCTGAGCCTTCTCGGAAGCCACGCGAGTCTTCTCAGAAGACGCGAGGGCTCCTGCGAAGTCCCGCCGCCTTCTGAGTAGGCCGGCCCCCTCTACCTCCACCCCTGGGCGTGCCGCCGATCCTGCCCGTCCACGCGTCAGAGACCCCACCAGGGTCGGCTGTCTCTCGCCACCTCTTGCATAGAACTCTCGTCGCTGCGTGCGCAAAGGCCGCACATTGATAAGCGCGAGCTCGTCGTCTTCTTCTTCTTCTTCTTCTTCGTCCACTTCTTCATCCCCCTCGTATCGCCCCCCCCCCCCCCCCCATGGCCTCCCTCCCTATCCTCGTCTTTAGTCCATCTAGTCCTCCTCAGCCTCCGCAGGTCGACCTCGGGGCGGGACCAGGGCCCTGCACCAGCAGAAAGGCAAGTGCAAGAGAGGCGGCCATGGCAGACACGCAGATGGGGAAAGGCAGGAGGGAGAGGAGAGGGCACATTATACAAACTTGCCATGTGGGCAGAGCGTCGCCCGATACTGCATAGGACAACGCTCCGGTATGCCACCGCCCAGGGGTGGCTCCCCCGATGGACTCTCGGTGGCGGTGGTCTCTGTTTCTCTGGGGAATGGAAAGAGACGAACGAAGGGCAAAGGAAACGGGGGCCTGGCAAGGTGGTGCCATGATCTTGGGCTCATCCCACCCTCATCGCTCCTCGCCGCCACGGCTGGGCCCTCGTCGCCACGCGAGAAACATTGCATCGGGGAGAGCACGTCACCAGCTACAGATCTGAAGATCAAACCTGGTCGCCCAGGGCAAGCCTGGGGAAAGGGTCGGTCTTCCTCGCTGCCGAAAACTCGTGTTACGAAACTCCCGTGGAATCCGGTTGAATGCTCCTCCTCCTCATCATCATCATCATTCTCCTTCCGCCCTATTCCTCCTGCTCCTTCTCCTCCTCCTCCTCCTCTCGCCGTCCTCCTCATGCTGCTCCTCGTGGAGCAAACCGAACAGAGGATGAGGATGAGGATAAGGATGGGGATGAGGATGAGGAAGGGGAAGGGGAGGGGGAGGAGGGGGAGGAGGAGGAGGAGGAGGAGGAGGAGGAGGAGGAGGAGGAGGAGGAGGAGGAGGAGGAGAAGGAGAAGGAGGAGGAGGAGCAGGAGGAGGAGGAGGAGGAGGAGAAGGAGGAGGAGGAGAAGGAGTTGGAGGAGAAGGAGTTGGAGGAGGAGGAGGAGGAGGAGGAAGGAGGAACAACACAACAAACAAACGACGACCCCCTGGCCGCGATGGCGGCGCGGCCCGACCGAGGAGGGGGTGAGCGGGCGGGCCCCTCCTTCGGGCGGCCCGGCGGGGGCGGCGGGGGCGGCGGGGGCGGCGGCGGGAACGAAGGCCGCTCGCCTCCGTCCGCGGCGGGCTGGTCCCGCGGGGGCGCCCCCCCCTCTCCGCCTTTGCGCTCCAATCCGCCTGTGCGTCTCCCTGCTGCTACTACTGGTGCTCCTCTCCCTCCGCCTCCTCCTCCTCCTTTTCCTCCTCCTCCTCCTCCTCCTCCTCCTCCTGCTACGCGTCCGCTTTATCCTCATCATGAAGTGAGTCCGTTTTCCGCGCGTGCGCGCGCCCTCCACCTCATCCTACAACTCTGATTTTGCGCCCGCTCCTCCTCATCCTGGTCCTCTTCCGCTTCCTCCGCCTCCTCTTCCTCCTCCTCCCCTCCTCCTCCTTCTCCTCCTCCTCCTCCGTTTGTTTGCTCTTGCTACTGCCAAAAACTTGTGTTCAACGAGTCGCGGCGGCGACCCCGACAACACTCCACGCCATGCGAGCTGATAGCGTGTTGTTACCACTCCGCGGGGCGGCCGGCTGGGAAACACTCCAGACGTTGACGCTAGGGGGCTGGGGAAGTGCTAGCGTGCCGCGCGGAAGCGAGGTGCACCAGAACTGGCGGCGCGACGCGCTAACCCACAATCTTTTACAGTAGCATTCTGCCGCAACAACACACACGCACACACAAACACGCACACACACGCACACACACACACCAAAACACACACACACACATTCACGTTCACACTCACATTCACATTCGCATTCAAAGTCACATTCACAGTCAAATTCACATTCGCATGCACAGTCACATTCACATTCACATTCGCATTCACACCCACACACATTCACACACATACACGCTACACAAATACACCACACACACACGCACACGCACACGCACACGCACACGCGGGCGCACACGCACACGCACACGCACGCGCACACGTACGCGCACACGTACACGCACACCCAGACACAGACACACACACACACACACACACACACGCACACATACATACACACACCCACACACTTGCGCGCCCTCTCCACCTCCTCCTGTTTCTCCTCCTCCTCCTCCTCTTCTTCCTCCTCTTCCTCCTCATTCCCCCCTCTTCCTTCTCCTCCTCGTCCTGCTCCTCGTCTTCCTCCGTCTTTTGCTTGTGCTATTGCCAAAAACTTGTGTTCAACGCGTCGCGGCGGCGACCCCGACGACGCTCCACGCCGTGCGAGCTGATAGCGTTTTGTACCAGTCCACGGGGCGGGAAGCTGGGAAACACTCCAGACGTTGACGCTGGGGGCTGGGGAAGTACTAGCGTGTAGCGCAGAGGCGTGGTGGACCAGAACTGGCGGCGCGACGCGCCAACCCACAATTTTCACAGTATTATTCTGCCGCAGCAACACACAACACGCACAAACACACACACACACACCCGCACCAAAACACACACACACACATTTACGTTCGCACTCAAATTCACATTCGCATTCAAATTCACATTCACATTCCCAGTCACATTCACATTCGCATGCACAGTAACATTCGCATTCACATTCGCATTCACATTCGCATGCATATTCACATCCGCATTCGCATTCACGTTCACATTTACATTCGCATTCACCTTAACATTTACACACCTTCACACACCACACTAACACACCGCGCACACACGCACACGCACACGCACACGCACACGCACACGCACACGCGGACGCGGACGCGGACGCAGACACAGACACACAGACACAGTCACACACGCAAACACACACACACACCAAACAAAATGCGAGTGCATGGATCTGGCTACATCGTGGCGGAGCCCCCGCGCCTCAGTTGCCGTTGGCGCGCAGACCAGAGAGAGCAATCCGATGTCCCCCGCGGGGGACTTGACCGTCCTTCCAGACATGCCCGCGGCCGAAGGAAGAGTCTGGGAGGAGCCCAGTGGTCGCGGAGACACGCCGTGGCGTGCGTGGTGATGTTTTCCAGGGCGCGATGCGCGTCACCGGCGAGCCGCACGCATTATGCTTCCAGAGCCACCGTGAGCACATCGCTGCCATGGCGTGCGCGCTTGTCTGCAATGGCAGCGTCCGCGGCTTCACCCAGGCACGCTGCTGCTCTGGAATGTCCTCCTCTGGCTGCGTGCTGTTGCAATCTCCACCTCTGTGAGTGCAATCAGCGAATCCCCGCGCGACCCGATCCGCGACCAGCGGAACCTCTCCCCACACCTCCCTCAATCGTGTTTCCTGCCCTGCAATTTCCACCACGCGTCCTCTTCCTCCTCCTCCTCTTCTGCTCGGAGCTTCGAGCACGCCGCGGTCTGCGACCTTGGAGGGCTTCACAATTCCGACTTCATTCATTGCAAGCATCACTGGCGTGATGTCCAACGCATCTTGTCCTCGACCGATTGGATCTCAGCCGTATCCGGTCTGCAATCACTGCTGGCGCAACTAACGAGAGCCCCGTCACGCCCCAGTCCGCGGCCATTGGGAGTTCGCCCGCTTCCAAATCCACCCAATATGCATTCAAGCGTTACCAGGTGTGGAGGAGTCCTATCGAACTCTCCCCACCCCGGAGGCGTGCTGAATGCGGTGTCAGGGGGGGGTGGCCGCCCGCACGTGCACCTTTAATTAGGAGGCGAGGTAGGAAGCCCCTGGGTGCCGGACGGGGTGCGCGAGGGCGCACACAATACGCCCCTCCAGCGTCACCGGGCCGAAGCACCATGTGACTGCCAGACGCTTTGGGAGGAAGTGGGCACCGCAATCCTTGCAGCTCATGCGCCAGACCCTCGCACCCAACATGTCTACCAACCCAGAAACTCATCTTGTTGATCCGTTGCTTTTCCTAATAAATTACGATTCCCTGTGGCACCCTGGTGCCAGTTGGAAGGGCGGGCTGGGCGTTTCGCCTGCGAGCTTCTTGCCAGGTGTGATCCTGAAGCTTACAACTTGGCATCAGCTTCACACGTGGAGGGCAGGTGGCTTCCAACATGTGGCTCTCGCCTTAGCACCGCGCACATTCGTCTTCAACTTGGTGAGAGTTTAACGGATTGAGAGCGAGTCGTTTTCAAAGTGTGGCTCTCGCCTGAGAGCCGCGCGCACTCGTCTTAAAACATTGCAAGAGTTTCACGGGTTGATGGCGACCGTTTTCAAAATTTGGCTCTCGCCTCCGCGCCGCGCACACTCGCCCGAAGAACGTTCAAGAGCATCACGGATTGAGGACTGTTCCTTCTCAGAATGTGGCTCTCGCGTTAGCGTTGCACGCACTCGTTTTACAACGGTGTAAGAGTTTCACGTGTACCCAAAATCAACATACCATAATCAATATTGGTGCGCTTCAGGTCTATCAGGGCGCAAAGAAAATCGGTTGATTCACGGTGTCGAAGTCCCTGGAATGGTGTTATGGCAAGATTCAGGATCGTCAAGACGCAACAGTCAGGTTGATTCGGCACGCTTCAGGATCCCTGGAATGGTCTTGGCGTCCCAACAACTGTGTTTTGGCACGCTTCAGGATCCTAAAACCGTTGACTCCCAAGGGAACATCTCCAAGTGGCAATGAGTCTTTGGTTTGCAATGGTCCTCCTCCTCCTCCTCCTCATCCTCCGCCCCCTCTTCATCTTCTGGTCCCTCATGCTACTACTATGCTTACATTAAAGATAATTCAACAAAAACTTGGACGCCCCCGGAAAATCAGGACAACCCATGCTGGTCAATTACGGCAAGGCGACCAGACCCGGACAACTCCTTGGACAAACCAGCGAGGATCCGGACAGCACCAACGGACAACCCCCTTGGAGAAGCCTCCCCGTGGTTTACTTCCATAAGGTATAGTAAGACTTCTTCCCCCTTCTCCAGTCCCATCATCCTGCTCTGTTCCATCTTGCCGCATGAAGGCCTTCTGGTGGCGCACCCCATGGCAAGCCGTTCCTGTACTGTACTCCCCCTCCTCGTCCCCCTCCGCCTCACCCTCTTGAAGGGCCCTCGCCATGGAGGCCCCTGGACATCGCTCAGAAACGTCGGCGAAGATGTTGGCAACACCGTTGACCTCGACGTCGACGTTGACGATGACAGCGCAAACGCCGGATGCGACGGGGTCACCGTGCTCTTGCCGAGCCCTCGGGGACTCCCTCGCCGCCTCCTCGGCAGGGCGGTGGGGGCCGAGGGAAGGAGGGCGAGGAGGGGTCGCACGAGAGGATCGGGATGTCGAGGGGTGCTGGCAGTGGAACCTTGACCTAACGTTGTTGATGGACTGTGGGAGGATAGGTCTGACGCTGCCCAGCTCCTCACAAGGTATGGCCTCGAACTGCGTGCTCAGATTGGTCAAGGCATCGTTCGAGTCGGGCTCCTGTTGTTCAGAGTAGGTGGCATTGACACCTGCTCCCGCTGAGCACAGTACAATCCAGGGAGGGCGAGATGAGCGAGGAGGGGGAGGGCGAGGAGGACGAGGAAGAGAGGGTTTTCGACGAAGGCGAAGAGGGCGAGGAGGGCGAGGTGGGCAAGGACGAGAGGGGGCAGTCCCTGCGGTCGGGTCGGGCTGAGCAGGCCCCAACTCGGGCGATCGGGGCGAAATAGAGGAGGAGGGAGGGCAGGAAGCGGTTGGGGAAGAGGAGGGGAGTGAGCGGGGAGGTGAAAGAAGGGAGTTTGCAGGAGGGGGGAAGGGAGGTGAGGGAAGGAGGAGGCAGGAGAGCTTTGAAAGAGGGAGGTGGAAGCATGCACAGCAGAGGGGAGAGGAGGAAGGGAGGGGGGCGAGGGGGGAGAATGAGGCAAGACGCTTGAAAACAATCCAGGCCCAACAAACAGCAGCACGCTCGGAGCAATCAGCGGAACCAGACCCGGCGTGCGCAGGCCCACAAAGGTTGCGACCGCAACACGCCCTCGAGAACCGATGAACGGCCAATTCGTGTACCGACTCGGCAGGGCGGGGTTTCTATCAGCCTCCAGCTGAAGATGTAGAACCCCTGGCGCACTCAGGAGGTCCGGCGGTGCACATCCCTAGGGGCGCTCAGGCAGACTGCGTGACCCGCGGCAGGCTGCAGGAGATCGAGCCTGTGGGGACCTCCCGCGCGGGAGCCGTGGCTGTGGAGGCCAGAGGTCCGGGCAGCGCAGAGCGAGGAGGAGCGCCGCCCTCCTCGACGGAAGCGGAGGGGGGCGCGAGCGCGGAGGGGCCCGCCGCGACCAAGCGCGAGGATACCCATCGGCGGCGACGACGACGAAGACGACGACGGCCGCCGCCGACGACCGTTACGGCAACTCGGGCCCCGGCGGCGGCCCAGACCCCGGCGCCGTGCGTCTTTCACAGCGCAGCGTGGGCCCCCCAGAGGCCTCGACCGCTTCGCCCTCCTCCTCCTCCTCTCCTCCTCCTCCTCCTCTCTCCTCCTCCTCCTCCTCTATCTCCTCCTCTATCTCCTCCTCCTCCTCCTCCTCCTCCTCCTCCTCCTCCTCCTCCTCCTCCTCCTCTATCTCCTCCTCTATCTCCTCCTCCCCTTCTCCAGGATCGGCGTCCCATCCCGGGTCGTCCTCTGGCGGCCCTGGGGTCCTGGTCGGGGCCCCCCGCGGAGGCCGAAGACGGCCAAGCCCTCTCCCCACCTCAGCGCCCATCTGCCGGGGACTCCACTAAGGGGTGCTTCGGACAATGACCTGGCGAACCCAACCCTCCCCGAGATGGGCAACGCGGCAATGCCAAAAAGAGGCCCTAAAGAGGCAACTTCCGGCAAATCTCCTACATACCCTTTAATGAGTACCCGTTACGGTGCCGCTGACCACCGCGATTCTCTAAGCGACTGGTGTGTAGACGGGCTACTTTCTTTCTGCTCAACGCCCGGTGAGAGAGCCTGTGCCCCTGAGACCGGGGGCCATCGTGGCCCCCCATCGTGGCCCACCAATCGTGGCCCACCAATCGTGGCTCCCACTCGTGCTCAGTGCCAAGCTGGTTAGGGTCTTCTGCCGCAGAGATACCATCTGCCAAGTCCCAGAAACACTGACACCAGGCACAAATACTGACCTGACTGGGGGGGGGACTCTTCTACCTCACCCGCCTTCCGCCAGCTTCCGTTGGCGGAGCTTCCCCCGTGGTCCTTCGCCCGGCTTCTTCCGCCAAGGAAGAGGGGCCAACTCCTTCGATCCCTCCAAGGAAGGGCCCTTCCTGGGACGCCCCCTGTGTGTCACTGCGCGAGGAACCCGCTCCACCGGGGACATTTCTCGTCCTGGGACCATTCTTGGCGGCCCCGGATCCCGAACACGGCCCCCGAGCGCCGAAAACCAGGGCATCACACCACCCATTAAAAACATCGAATCGTCGGAGATCTGATAACTACTCAGGGTCTTCCGCCGCAAGCGCGGTCTCAATCAGCATAGAACCGGGAAATCGGATCGAATCGACATGTGCGACGGGTCGGTCTTCGTCGGCACCGACATCGAATCGGATCGGCACCCAATCGACATAGAATCGGATCGGCTGTGCCTGGATGCGAGGCACGCCGTGAAAACATCGCGCCGCATCGGACCGTCGAATCGGATCGGGCCGGCCGCAATCGATATCGAATCGAATCTCACGGGTGGACGTGGACGCTGCAAGGGTGCCATGCGCCAGGGCGCGGGTGGACATGGACGCTGTGAGGGTGCAATGCGCCAGGGGCGGTGCTGGAGGTGCCGCCACGCGGTTCCAACACAGATCCAGGAAGTCCGTGCGGAGCTCCGACAGTTTACGGCCAGGAGCTTCTGCATAGTGTGTCGCGGCGGCGGCCCCAGCGACACGCTGTGCCTTGCGAGTGAATAGCATCTCGCTCCGCTTCGTGAGTTGGGAGGTCGAGAAAAAAGCTTGGGAATTTGACGCCGGGCGGCGAGGCAGTGGATAGCTGGTCGCGCTGAAGCGTGGTGAGCCATAACCAGCGGAGCGAAAGGCTATCCCGAAGTTCCTGACCGCAGATCCAGTAAATCCGCGCGGAGCTCCGAAAAGCTACGGTGGGGGCATTCAATAAGGGAACCTTCGATAAGGAACCCAGAGTCTGGAAGCCGATGGAGCTCCAATCGTGGATCGGTGATGGATATCATTGCCGCCCTCATCAGATAAGGAAGCCTCCAGGGTCTGCAGCCTCCTGGACACATTCCTTATCGAACGCCCCCACCGTATGTTCACACAGTGCTCATGTCCGAGGCTCCCGAGCCGGCGCTCGCGGCGACGAGGGGCCGCGGCCGCCGGCGGGGTCCTCCGCGGGAGGCCAGGCGGCGGGGGACGCGGACCTCGGCCGAGGCCCCGTGGCGCGCGCGCGCGGGCGGGGGGGGGGGCGCGCGGGCCCATCGGCGCCCCCCTTGGCTCCTCCTCTGGCATGAGAGGCCTCCATCTAGGAGGCCTCTCATGCCAGATGGGGTCCGAGGGAGGGGAATCATTACTTTGTTTTGCGTCTTGGTGCGGTGCGCTCTGCGAAATCCGCCCCCGCCAATCATTCATTTTCGTTGCGGTGCCAACGATAACCCAGGGGGGCTCCTTAATTGCCAGATGAGGTTAGATGGGGTCGGGGTATCGCGCCGCATCGCCGATACATCGGCGATGCTTTGCAAATGTACGCATCGGCGACGCATCGGAAATGCAACGGCGACGTCGGCGATGCACTGGGGCCGTCGGCGTGGGGAAGATCGGGCTCCACATCGAGCTGCACCGCCGATGCATCGGCGATGCGGCGCGATCCTCCGACCCCATCTGCTCTGACACCATCTGGGGTGAGGCAGCCCCTCGTCAAGGAGCAACCAGCCCTGGCGCGGCCCGCCGGCTACCCGAAGGCGTTGTGCGCTGGCCCTCGTCTTCCCCTCGTCTTCCCCTTGCCGTCTTATAGGGTGCCCGTAGCCCTGGCGCGGCCCGCAGGCTGCCCGAATGCGTTGTGCGCTGGCGCCCTCGCCGCGGAGCAACAAAAACGAGCTGCCCGCAGTCTCCAGCCTCCGGGGGGCCCTCGCCGGGGGCCCCGCGGGACTGTCGAGGAACGGTCCAGGACGAGAGAGCGGCCCCGAGGAGGTGAGAAACCGGAGGGTTCCAAAGGGGGTTTCGGGGGAGGGGGTTTTCCAGGAGGGGTCCCCCTGGATCTTCGCACCCCCTGTTTTGACGAGGTTCCGAGGCCCCTGGGGGTTCTCTGGAAAACCCCCTCCCCCCAAACCCTCTTCGGAACACTCCGGGTAAAGATTCCAGGCCTCAAGGGGTCCATGTCGTGGGCGCGAATGATAAATCGGGCGCGGCCTAACCGACCCCCAGCAGGCCATCCCATGCCCTGACGTTATTTTCGCCTGTCGAGCTCCCCTCCGGCCGCATACATCACGTCATGGGGCGAGGTGAGGGAGGCGTCACCGAAGGGTATGATTTGCAGGGGGTCGGTTAGGCCGCCCCTCAATTAATGGGAAGCGATACGTGGGGGGGAAGAAAGGTACTCCTTTCGGGCCCTACAGGCCCCCTCTGGGGCCCTAAAGGGCCACTTCAGGGGACCCAATGCAGAGATCCTTTTCTGAAGCTCTCTGCGGCGCTCAAACGCATTTGAAAAAGCAATGACGCCGGTTGTCTGGGGCCTCCTCGGCTGCCCCCAACGGCCTCCATTCTCCTGGGCGGCCACCTGACTTCGCGCACCGCGCCCTGGCGGTGCGCTCCGGGCGGTCCTCTTCGTGCTCTCGCGCTCTCGCGCCGCCCGTTGGAGAAGGGTAGTCGGTCTGATCCAGACAGCGACGCGCGAAGGGCGGTCATCTTCGCGCCCCAGGGGTGGCCTCCTCTTCCTGTGCCACAGTGCATCGCAGGCGTTGCCAGTCGTGGCCCTTCGCGTGGGTGCCGCCAGGATCTCCAGGGAGGCCCCCCCGGCCTCCAGAGCGTCCCCTCGCGAGGATTTCGAGGGTCCGACGAGGGGGGCCAAAGTGGCAAATCAAGCCTGGGACACCCAAGGCCAGGGACACCATCGGCAACCCCCCATCGACATCATCATCATCATCATCATCATCATCATCATCATCAGCAGCAGCAGCAGCATCATCAGCATCATCATCCTCAGCATCATCATCATCAGCATCATCATCATCACCCCCTCCCACCTTCTCCCTATCCCCCCTTCTCCTCTTCCTCCTCCTCCTCCTCCATTCCGTTTTCTTAGGTGGTATGGCGCCTTCAAGGAT